AACAACAATCAATTCATAACAGCTATTAACCTATTAACCCAAAGGTCAGTGGTTCAAATCCACCCAGCAGCACAGAGGAAGCAAAGCCCAGAGATCTTCTTCCAGAAAGACTACAGCCAAGAAAAACAGTATTCAGCTCCACTCTGTAACACACAGAGTGGTCACGAGTTGTGCGCTTGCTAGACTGAGACTTTTATTTTTGATAGTAGGTGTAGAATATCAATATGTACATTTTGTAGCAATTAATTCACTTGTTTTCAGTACTTTAAGTATAAGCTGTAATTTACTAACAACAAATTACACAGATTTCAAAAGCATTTCTGACTTCTGATGTAAAGTCTGAAGTTTTTTTTTTTTTTCCCTCCAATTTACAAAGTAGGGCTTAAAAGTAGGGTTAACTGAATTTTAAATTCCACCCAGCCAAAGAAAAAAAAAAGCAAACAATTAATTTTGGCCAGGTCTTATTAATAGGACATTAATTTTTATTTTTCATTGTGCTGTAGGTGACAGTTTACAAAGCAAATTAGTTTCCTCTTCAATAGTTTGTACATGAAGTGTTCCATGACATTAGTTACATTCCCCACAATGTGTCAATACTTTCCCCATTTCCACCCTGGGTTCCTCATTTCTTTTCACCTGAATTTTCTCCCCCTTCCTGCCTTCTCATCTTTGCTTTTTGGCAACCATTATCCTTTTGATTCATGTAATTGTTCTAAGGAACACATTCATCTCATGTGGTGATGTTTATTTTACAGGCCTGACGTTTAGGTGAAAGTTGGTCTCTGGGAATGACTTCAGTTCTAAGTCAGAATAGGGTCTTAGGGCCATAGTCTCATGGGTTCCTCCAGTCTCTGTTAGACAAGTAAATCTCGTCTTTTTTGTGAATTTGATATTTCGTTTTACGTTTTTCTCCTGCTCTGTCTAGGACCCTCTGGTGTGATCCCAGTCAGAGCAGTAGGTAGTGGTAGCCTGGCATTGTGTAGTTCTTTTGGTCTCCCGTTGTGTAGCTGTGGTTCAGATGGTCCATTAGCCCTTTGGATTAATTGCTCCCTTGAGTCTTTTGTTTCCTTCCCTCTCCTTTGTTCCAGATGAAAAGAGAATGGTAGTTGTATTGTTTTCAGTACTTCTGTGCTTTTTTTTTTTTAGCTAGCTATCTTTGGCTGTACTTAACTGGAACTGGTCTGTGAAGTAGAACACACAAGGTGTGCACTTTTAGGTTAGCAAATCCCAAATTTATTTATCTCATCCTTAACTAGGATAGCTGTAAGCTCATTATCCTCTAATAAATAGTTATCTTGAAACACTGAAATTTTCCGTGGATGCATGCCGAGAACCACAAGGAAGTATACTTGTTGTCTTGGTTCAAAACAATATTTTGAATATTTCTCAGTTTTAATATTGAATATGAAAACTAACAATAGATATAGTCCACATAAATAAGAGCTCTTTGGAGCCCTCAATAATTTAAAGGAATATAAAGAGTGTCCAAGATCAAAGAATTTGTCTCAGGTAATAAAAGCAGCAGGTGCACAGAGGATCCGTGCCAGGTGATGTTCACATTCTTCTTGTCCAAAAACACCTTTGAAGTGTTTAAACCAACTGCCGTCAAATTGATTCTGACTCGTAGTGGCTCCATGGGGTTTCCAAAGCAGTAAATCTTTATGGAAATAGATTGCTCAGTGTGGTAGTTCAGTTTGTGTATCAACTTGGCTGGGCCTGGTTGAGTGGCTGGGAAGCTGGATGTAGATTCCCCATGATGAGACTGGTAATCAACTCCATGATAGAATGTACTGGGAGCAGCTGAGTAGCTGCCTTTGGGATGTGATCTGCTTCCCATATATAAGAAGCAGCTTTGGGGAATGGTCTCTAGTTTATGGCACGCTTGGACCCTGCATGTAGCCGTGTCATTGTTCAGCAGACTGCTATGCTCTGTTGATCTTGGGCT